CCTGTGGGTGCTGGGAGTCAAACCTGGGTCCTCTGCAAGAGCAGCCAGGGTCTTAACTGCTGAGTCAGCTCAGCCATCTCAACCCCTTATTTTATTTTATTTTATTTTATTTTATTATTTTATTTTATTTTATTTTATTTATGAGGTAGGGTTTCTTTATGTAACCCTGTCCTGGAACTTACCATGTAGCCCCAGGCTGGCCTCAAACTTGCAGTGGTGATCCTCCTGTCTCTCCTTCCCATGTACTGTGATTATAGATGTGAGCTACCATCTGTAGCTTGATGCATTTTTAGTTAAGAAACAAATATAATATTCTTACTTTTCAGAATCTAATCAGGGATGAAAATTCACATTTTTTACTATTAAATGGAATACAATAAAACTTTAATAACCGATGATACAAATGGTCTCTAAGTAAGCTCAGCAATCCATTTGTTCTGTTTATTTCTGATATTTCTCTTCTGCGTTGTCTTAGCTGAGTCATCTCAAATATACTATGCTGTGATTTCATCTGTGGATGACATTTGAAGTAGTTGATATCTGAGGTCACATTGGGATATAATTTAATCTCTTTTTTTCAGACACATGTGTCAGTTCCAGAAACAGCAGTATTACAAACAGTTGCCAGCTTGGACAGTCTCGTAGCTGTGATAGAATGCCAACAGCCAGAAGCAGACTTGTACAGGTATGGTGTGGTGTTCAGAGTATTCATCTTCAGTCTTATTAACAAGACCTTGTTTGAGGCTAGAGAGATACTCAGTGGTTAAGAGCACTGGCTGCTTTTGCAGAGGACCAGGGTTCAGTTCCCAGCACCCACGTGGCAGCTAACAACTGTCAATAACTCCAGTTTCAGGGGGACCTGATACCGTCTTCTGGCCTCTGCAGACATTGCATGCACATGGTGTATGTATAAACATGCAGGCAAAACATACATACACATAAAATAAAAATAATAAATACTTTAAAAATTAAAAAAAAAACCTTGTTTTTATAGCCATAAATGTAAAATGAAGTCTTTAAAAAAATTTATTACATTTTTATTTTGTGTGTGTATGTGTGCGGGCATGTGCATGCCGTAGTGTGTACATGGAGGTCAGATGACAACTTTTGGGAGTCTGTTCTCCCTTTCCACCATGGGAGTCCTGGGGATCAAACTCAGGTCATCAGACTTGGCAGCAAGCACCTTTACCCACTAAGCAATTTCACCAGCCCATAAAACAAACTCTTACATGATTAGAGATACTGTTTGTGAGACTTTTAGTTAAGGGGAGAAATGAACAAAAAGCCGAATTTGGGGAATTCTAATCCGAAGATCCTAATTGAAAAATGGTGCTTTTATCACAAGTCCCTCCGTTTCTGGTCTTGCTCTATCTGTTGCAGTTCCAGTAGAGAATAGATTACCTCCTTAGCAGGGTCTGCTGGTCTTGTTTTTTTTAAACTTTGTGAAGTTAAGGGATTCTTTTTTCTCTTTATAGGTGCTTAATGAGAAAACAATTTAACTCTTCACATTATGTTGCATGAGCTTTGTCACATTGCTCACCCTCTGAATACACTTTAAAAAGGTACATTAGGTATTATTTACTAAAATTTTTATTTGATAGACCCTTCAGATATTTATATTTTTTTCTTCTGTCTTAGTTTTTTCCTCTTTTATTTTTAAAAGTAAGGGCCATCTTTAAGCTAAATCAGGTAAACACGAGGTTAGTAATAGGAAGACAAATGGTCACCGTGGAGGCACTAAGAGAAAGTCATTAGATGACACTAGCTAAGGAAAAATTCTGTGAACCTCTGAATTTTTTATGAAAACTCATGCCCTGGTAGAGGGCGGAGCTATAATTTTTTGCTCACTGTATAACATATGGGAGATACTGCTATTAAAATTTAGCCTTATATATTGTATGTTTTCAGTATTTTACTTATATACATAACATACAGTAAAGTAAAAAAGTAAGCTTATATAAGTACCTTTAACTCTGGTGAGCTCCTTAGAGACAGAATTTATTCTTATCTTACCATCTATCAAAATAAGCACAAAATTTCAAAAACTTTGTTTATATTTTGTTAGTTTTTTTGGGGGGGTTGTTGTTGTTGTTTGTTTTATTGAGACAGGGTCTCCCTTTAGCACCAGCTGGTCTAGAACTGCTACGTAGACAAGGTAGCCTGGATCTCACAGAGATCTGCCCGCATCTGCCTCCTGAGTGTTGGAATTAAAGGTCCGTGCCACCACACCTGACAGAATTCTGTTTCTGAAGGAGGCAAAGGAGTATAGTTCACCACACACAGTGTGAGTTGTCTTTCAGTGGTCCTGCTAGTTAGTATTTGGTATGGGTTGGAAACCACTCAATTTAGTTATGTAAGAAACTGGTCTGGACAGAGCACTTGCTGTTCTTCCAGAGGACCTGAGTTTGGTTCCCAGTACCCACATAGTACAGCTCATGACCATATATAACTCCATTTCCAGGGAATAAGTATCCTCTTGTGGTTCTGCAGGTTCCTGAATACAGATGGCATATACTTACACAGACATACACACATACACATAAGTTAAAAAAACTTAAAATTTATAAGGAACTAAATTCATTATTGCTTAATGATTGGCAATAGGCTGAAAATTAAAAGCACATTTTAAAATCACCCCTATTATTTATCCTACCTTCCCCATTGGTTGAAATATTTTAAAATATTAAGTCTTTTTCAAATATCTTATGTAGGTTCGTTTGGAATCCTATCATTATAATGGAGGTTTTCTCTGTGAATTTCTTTTTAAATTTTATGTGTATGCATGTATTATGCATGTATTGCCTGCATGTTTGTAAGTGCACCCGTGACATGCAGTGCCATGGTGGTCAGAAGAAGGCATCAGATCCCCTGGAACTGGAGTTATGGATGGTTGTTAACCACCATGTGGGTGCTGGGATCGAACCCTAGTCCTCTGCAAGAGCAGTCACTGCTCTTAACTGCTGAGCATCTCTCCAGGCCTCTCTATGTGATATTTTAAAAAATGAATTTTCATCAAAGTTAAGTATAGTGGGGAATTTGCCAGTGGATTGAAAAATTTGAAAAATCATATGCTTTAAAAGTTTCCTATGAGGAGTTAAAGGACTTTTTTTTCAGTTTATTATTTATTTAATAACCACATACTTAGAAGAAGCATTTACAACAGCATTGACATATTCAATAACAATTTTCTGAGCTAAGATGCATCTTTTTCAAAATTGGCTGAAAATTTTTAGGTTTACAGTTGAATTGTTACAATAATACAATATTTTACTCAGTATAAACCTTATAAGACATAAAATTAAATGAGGTCTTAACCCTTAAAAAAGAGCTCCATTTCATTTTAAAATACACTTTTTCATACAGAAAACTCATTTTTAATGCTATTAACACATATATATTGGCACATGCATCTCTAATCTCATGCATTTCTAATCTCTATATATCTGATTATTACTAGTGACAGTCGGTTACTTTCTGAGCTCCTTGGTATCTGAGCATGGATATAAAGTAATCAGGTAGATTTCAATGGTAATGCTTTTCACATCCACATCTACTTATTATTATAATTATTATTATTTAATTATTTATTTCATAGCCAAATGATTAGAAGAGGCATTTCATTGCAACAGCATTGACATATTCAATAACAATTTCCAGAGCTAAGATGCATCTCTTTCAAAATTGGCTGTAAATT